ATCATATTATTTCAGACGCTATCTGCAATGAATCATAAAAACAAAAACAAAAAAGTAATTATTTTTAATATTATTTGAATTTTTCATAGTATAAGCAAACATAATTTCAAATCGGAAATAGAAGAAAATCAATAAAAAATACTTTTAAAAAATCAGGAAAATATTTTTTGAAAATATAAGAGAAAATGGGATTTTGAGCACAATATTTTCAGAAATCTGACAAAAATGCATACAAGCATTTAAACAATTTCTTATAATAATGTCTTGAACTATTACGCCCATAATACAACAAAAGTTTTTGCAAAGCCATTTAATGGAAAATTTTAATAGTATCAAAGTTTTAATTTCAGCTGAATCTTTTTAAGAGGAACTACTGCGTAATTCACTACCAGACCAATAAACTTGCAGGGTATGTAGAGTACTTGGAATCACATAGGAATGCAAGGGTGCAAATGCCGTAATTGTGAGCTACGGTGCAAAGAAGCTGAGAAAAGAACACAAACAGCAGCATATTAATGGGGCAAAAACACTTTATTGAAAGGTTGTACTACAACAAGTGTTCGAAATTGCAACCAAAAGTCATCTAGTAGGCCAGACAGCGGCACTACATAGAATTCTTTATGTTATAGCAAATTCCTCAGGGAAGCTTTGAGGTAGATAGGGCTGAACAGAAGGTTTCGTGAAAACAAATCCTGCTGAAAGTCGTCATTTGCGATCCTTTTCCCGAGGTAGTAGAATGAACTTGCATTCAAACGAAAGATTCGTAGACATGTAGATCGTGTATGGAGCTGCGGATCGTGATGTGTACTCCGCTCGGTGGTTGTACCAGGAACGTTACGCGAACATGCATCACACGACCTTTGCAAGTGGGAACAGAAGGGGACGTGAGTCTGGTTCTAATCATATGAAGAGATTGGTTTTCGAGACGCTCGTTTCTTCATTGAAGATCTCATCGCTTGAATATCTGTAGCTGCCAGGAATCTTCAAGAAGGTAAGAATTTCCATGCAGTGCTCTGTCAGGCCTGCTAGACGACTTCTGGTAGTAATTTCGAAGACCTGTCGTAGTAAACTTTCAATAAAATGTTTTCTGTCCTATTAATATGTTCCTGTTTCTGTTCCTTTTCTCTGCTTCTTTGTACCATAGCTTGAAACTACGGCATTTGCGACCCTTCAATCCTCTGTGATTTTGAGTCGTCTTTGTAACCCCTAAACACCCTGAAAGTTTGTAGGTATGGTAGCGAAATATTGTACAAAATTATAGAATGGATATGTGCAATATATGATTTTACAATCTCACGTTCAAGTATAATTTATTTTTCTGCATGTTCCGATTCATATAATATTTCCACAATTTTTCTTTAAAATCTTTAAAATGCTCTCACTGCTACTCTCGTAATTATTCAGTCTTGCAATCAGAGCAACAACAATTTAAACTGCATTAGTGGAAGAAACACTTTTCTTATAGATTAATCTCGGTAAATTTGATACTTCCCACTTTCTACTACATTTAATCTCTTCTTTAGCTACAAAGCATGAGTTACTTGACGGATTTCATTAACTTTATTAATTTTAAAACTCGGGTGTTAAAAGGCAACTGAAACGTGTATCTAATTATTTAGCCATTTTCAAGAGGTTTATAAGCTTGTTAGAGAAAAAAATAGAAGTTTTAAAAAGTAAATTCATATAATAGTGGTTTCAACAATAGATTATTTCATACAAATAACGAGGCGTTTGAAGCAAATTAAACTGATAAAGCTTAAAATATTCCCATGATTCTTAACAAGACTCGCGATTAAATATTTTTAATATGTGTTTATCGAAAATGACATAAAATGTGTGTGTTAATATTTCGAATTAAACAATTCATTTTCTTATCTTTTCAAATTAGACATTCAGATACGCCTTGTCTGGATCTAAAACTTTTAAATCTTCTTTATAGCTTCATATTTCATCCAACTATGCAATTTTAACAATGACGATACAAATTGTTCATACAGTATTAAGATATTTAAATAGTATACAATAAATGAATCTTTTATAGCCAAAATGTCTTATTTATTTCTGCTTCAGAGTATTTAAATCTGTATCAATACACTAAGACTTGTATTTATATTCACCTTTCATTTATATCACTGAGTTTTTTTCAAGTGAAATTATACGAGTTTGTGTCTTTAAATTTATATTCTTGTTCCAACATGAATCATTTTGAAACACTTACTTTACAAGATAGGTTTCTTCGTCATTCACAGGTATGACGTGAAAATTTGTAAGTACCTGCACCAGTGCTTCTTAAACTTTCAATATTTGTGACCCAATTTTCAATTAAAATTTTCAAAGCACTCCCCCCTCCCTTCCATATAATAACAATGTATTGAAATCAATAATAATTTGCTTTGACGTAAAGCTACAATACGACTTTAATGATAAACTATACCAGTTATCAAGATAAGTATTAAATTTTATATATGAAAATCTTATGGGGTCACAAGTAATTATTAAACTTATTATTAAGTTTGTGTTGATGAATGGAAATAAATACATTCTGCAGTACTGATATATTTATTAGCATATTATATTAGTGAAAATGTGTAATTTATTTTTAATTGTGTCCGAATGTATATTTTCGATTTGCTCGTTCCCCCCAATAGGATTATCACGCCCAACTAGGGGGAGGGAGCGCACCCCAGACTTTAAGAAACCCTGACCTACACAGATTTGCTATTTGATAGATGCTCGAATTGCTAGTTTCTTCACTAATAGCTCATTTCTTAATTCTTCCTTGACTTTGATACAAAGCACAAAATTAGTTAACCATTAATAGTAATAAAGATACTACAAGAAAACCACTGTTTTGCACAATTATCAATATCTATATAGACTATATTTACGTCAAAATTACAATGCACACATTCAGGATTTCGTCCTGCTGATAAATTTCTCACAGTTAAAATGTGTCAGTATTGAAATTTTGCTATGTCTTAAGTAAAATTTTGTACTTCGCTAAAAAATAAATCCATATGTATAATAATTTAATAACATTATAAAATTCAGATATTTTAGATTAATGAGAGTTAAAAAATATTTTAATTTATTAAGCTGTAAATAATTTTTATGAGATATCTATACATTTTCAGTGTGAATATTATGAATAAACTATATGATATGAATAATGCTAAAATAATAAGCCAAAAACATTAATCTAATTTTAAAAAGCAAATTGAGTAGACAAAACCAAAGATTGTTGATTTGCTAATGATGTTTTTTCATAAGGTAATGTATCTCATATGTATACATTTCTTAATAAATCAATTACTAAGTAATCTAATATATATAGGTAAATATATTTGGTAATATCTCACGTCAAATAAAATGTTGTATTCAGAATTTTTCGTGTTATTTGAGTGATTGTGTTATATATATTTTTTAAGAAAAATTACTTCAATAAGATATTGATGAATTTACCATGTAGTGCAAACATATATATTTTTTTCATATTTTTTATTTATTCATAATATTTGTTAATTTGAAGAAAGTAGATATTACTAGTTTATCAAAATGTTTTCTATGAAAGTTGCTTTTTAATAATCAGAAAAGGGAAAACATTTTCCGCGATGGTGAAAAAAATTGCAAATTTGCCTTTTTAAAAGAAATAGGGCTGTGTAACAATTGAAATAATACAAGAATTGAATGAATTAAAGCTCAGATAAGGTATTAACTCAGCGCTTGGTTTCAAATAATTTTATTTGGATCAATAGTTATGGATACAAATTTTTAGACCCATTCTAGTATAGTAAAGAAGTTATTAATTTGAATCAATCAAATTTAACAATTATAATTATTAAAGCAAATTTAACTAGAAAATTATAAATGTCAATATTCAATTTCAATTAAATAAAGTCTACTCAAGAATGCTTAACAGAAAAAAATTAAGACATGAAACCCAACTGTAGCGAAAATATCAAAATTGTAAAAAAACAGGCAGGAACATTTCTTAGCTCAAAATCAAATCGGTCAAATGCAGGACCCGAATATCCTCAATACTAAATAGGTTGAAGTATAGAAAATTAGTTGTATGAAAGGTCCACCATTTACTTAGGTCAATTTTCTTCCATAATTAAAATATAAAGTGTTGGGCAAATCGTAATATATCAATACATCTAGAAGAGCAACAAGGATTGGTACGCTTCGTTATACTATACTTACAATCAACAAATATTATTTTTAGTTTATTGTCCAATAGTTTTATCTAACATTTAAATTACTGTTATTATATACCTATATTGGTAAACACTTATTAAACTTTTCTTCTATTCTCTTATAGTTGAATGCTACTAATAATGAATAAAACATGTACTGAATGTATATGGGTTTTTGAAATACAGATACATTTTCTACTTCTTTCATAATGCTGCATAGTAGCTCCATGCTAAACGCAGATCCTTAATAAACCGCTGTAAATGAGTTCAGATTTTCGTTTTCACTGATCTCATTGTGTGACACAATAACAAGGATGTAGAATAAATTTTATGCAACCATTAAATTTAAGGTATCTGATGTAAAAAAACAACAAATATATATACCTAAAGCCCTCCAATTGTTAATGCGGTGTTTATTCCTTAGGTTCCTATCATTACTACGCAAATGAAATTAATTGAAATGAATATCCTTTAACTGATAAACATTAGCAAATTCAGCATTAACAAGTAATATAAATTTTTTTTAAGTGAATCCCTACTTAGGTCAACAAAGAGACAATTTATTTTAGTTATTTTTTATTAATAGTTACAATTAATATAAATGTGTATATATATACGACAGAATCACAATATTAAGTGACAAAATAGAAAGCGATTTTCCTAGCAATTTTCCTTTCTATATATGTTGTTGGACTATTTTTTGTGTGTGTGTGTTTGGTTACTATTTATTCATTCATTAAATTTAATTATTCTAATAAAAAAACATAGTAAAAAAGAAATCGCATTCACACACAGAAATTAGACCATTTCAGGTGGGACTTGAACCTACGACCTTTGGATTAGAAGTTCAATGTGCTATCCATTACACTACAGGAACAAAACGAACAATTTTCCTTTCTGTATTTGCTGTTGGACTATTACCTTTGTTTGTTGCTATTTATTCATTTTTTAATTCAATTAATGAATTAATGTTTGAAAAACGCTGTATTAACATCAAGTGTGCCATCCACTACAAGTTTAAAAAATGTATTTGAACTTCAATGGATGAATAGAAAGTATTTTATTAACGATTGAAAATTTGTGAACAAGATATATATGTATATATATGAAGGGTGAGTGTGAACTAATAGTAGAGGAATTGAAAAATAGTGGAAAGGGCTAATTTGAGTAATTTATTTTCTATAATTCATTAAAATTGCAATTTAATATTTTCTCTTCGTTTTTGCATGTAACTGAATAATTACAAAATGTTTTAGCTGGAAAGTATAACTTATGTTTTTAAAAACTCCAGTACATTAAATTGTAATTTTATAAACTTAATTTGAAATTTGCATGATAATAACTTCCCAATGTATTCATGATCAATTTGATTTTCAAGAAGCTAAAATTAAAATATATTATTAGTAGGATTTATTTTTTATTCTAATGAATCGTTTGTTTATTTCTAGTTGCTTTTCTTATATGAACATTTTCAATATTTTTTCATATTTTATAGATTGAACAAAATTTACTAAAAGTGACACTTTAAAGTCAATGTAAATCATTTGCATATTGCAGTACATTAATGTATAATGTTACACCCTGTTTTGTTATACCTACAGTCTCAATCAGCATTCCTAAATTTTTCGATATGCGCTTTTTTTCCTTCTAAAGCTAATATTTATGTATCTACATGCATAACGTGTCTATATATTTATATTTAATCATTTTTTAATAAACATTATGTAAACATGTTAAATATTTCACTAATTATTTCTTTTTTCCACAAGATTAAGTTAAAAATTAATTACAAATTGTGCAGATAGTATTATAAGTAGTAAGTAAGTATTTGAAGTACAGTTATTTCTATGTTAAGCGCAATTTTAAAAATAATATAGCTTATAAAATGTTACTTACATAAATTGTTTATTCCGGGAAATGTTCGAAATATACAATATTTTAAAAACCTTAATGAAATACAAAGCAAATAAAATAATTTTAATTAACTATAAGTACGAGGTTGAAAGCATCACGTCAGCATCTGCCCCAAAAGTAGAAAATTCGTGTTTTTTTAGAAGTTTATCATTTAATTTTCAATTTGTAAAAAATATAACAAAATCAAATTCGATTGGGTATTTCAAAGGATTATAGAATTACAAATTGAATGTGTTATTAACAATTAAAGCAATCTCCATGATAGTATAGAGAGTCGTAAAGTCATGCAGCCCCATCTTTCATACAGCCTTCTAATGCTTCTTCTAATCATTTGCGAACAGTTGGTAAGACAAGAAAATACGCACTTATGGCACTAGGATTGGCTAAAAATATCCCCTCTCTATTCAATGACTCAGCGTTACCCAAACCAAAACATAGCATAAACGTGTTTCTGTTTTCTGTTAATAAAAATATAATTATCTTGGTGAAAAAGAAAAATGAATCCAAGACTCACCTCTACAGTATCCTATTCTAAATCAAATCTAGATCACATCCGTTCGTACAGTCAGATTAGACACTAAAAGAACACATATCTCTTTCTGAAGCAAACTTCGAATGTAATCCAGTGTTTCGAATTCATAAACGTTTTTGAAACGAACACTTGAAAAGCACCCGCTCGAATCTCTTCAAGTTGATCCTCAGCTTCGTTTGGGAGATGAGTGCGCATGCGTCAACATCTTGACGTCCTGGAAAGGGATTCTGCTGCAAATGCAAAGTCACTCGTTTGTTTAGATAACGGGTCTCGATGTTTATGCGGTAAATTTAAACTCGCAAATGCACATTTCCGGTTTTCCTGCCAATTTGAGAACCTATTAGTCACTTGCCGTTTGATTTTTTGGTTCTTTAAAAGGGTTGAGTACACTATCGTTCTTTTCATTCTTCAATAATATTCCTTTTAAAAAAATGCATTCTTTTCCAGTTATATTTTTGATTTTTTTTTCTTTGGAATAGACAGTTTAACTTCATTTGTTCGCTTCAAATATTTAATAACAGTGGAAAAAATTAAATTTCCGTAATTATAAATCAGAGTTATATAACCGTCACACTATAAAGCTACACTAGAGTTATTGGCGGCGGACCTCGTAATGTTGAACCATGGTCAAGAGATGAGGATGACACCTGGACTGGCACGCTTCGTCTCTTCTAACTTCAACACCACACCAACCGGAGGACTTTAAGCTCCGACAGATTTAACGTGCTGCGGCCTCCCGTAATTATGAAAAAAAATTGATAAGTGCTTTTGAAGCAGACTTTTCGTATAAAAAGAATCGGAATTTTCGTTGTGATTATTAATATTTAATACAGGTAGCTTAAAAATTAACAACAAAAAGGCATTTAGAAATACTTTATTCATGAAAAATGTTTTGAATGAATAAAAAAAAATAATAAAAATAATTTTTTAAAAAAAAAAACCTATTATTTGCTGTATATATTTTAATTTAAATAATACGAATATAATTTTAAAACAATTTACTTAACTTCCTTTTTTTTAAAAAAAAAGAATAAATATACAAGGAATAAATAAGTAAACAATACAGGGAAGAGAATTACAATTCAAAGACTCAAAACTCTCAGGTTAGCGTGAGGTGGAAGTTTGGAGAGGAGTGTCAACTCTGGTGTCAATTTCTCTTAGCTCAAAGTTCCGAGTTCTTGCCAATAGCCCTCGCATAGCTTCAAAAAGCGATTTAAATAAACAATCACTCAATCAAGCTCTCATCTTCTTTCATTAACTAAGAATAAGCTAAAAAAATTCCCACAATTGATCTTCAGAAGCATTGCTTAGAATGAACGAATAGCATTAGCCTTAAAAATGAATAAAGATAATTTGAATAGAATTCCTAAGCGCAACTTAACTCCATCAAGAACTGAAACACTTATTTGCAAGGAAGCTTGACAACTCAAGTATTTGCATGAAAATACAAACGGAAAAGTATTAAAAATTCTGCAAGTAAAGATTTTTTGTTCCAGTAATTACAGTCGGATCTTTATATAACGAAGTCGCTAAATCCCGGAAAAAAGTTCGATTTATTGAAGATTCTTTATATAGAGGTTCATCTTTTAATATACACTATAAACCACATAAAACAAATTTTAAATTTATAAACACTATATATAGAAAAATAGTAATTATTCTCACCTTTTTTTAAATTAATATATGCTTATTTTATACATATTACCCATCAAAAAATAAAAGTGAAAGAAAGAAAATTTGCATGGAAAACAAGAAAAAAAAAAGAATGCCGAAGAATTCACTTTATTTCCAATATTAAGAGAAAATAATTTTATATTAAAATTAATGAATTTTAAGGACATTTTATAATTTAAAGCATACAAGTAATATTAAGCATACATTATTTTTTAATTGGAACACGGTACAACTCCACTGAGGTTGAAAGACGATATCGAAAATTTTTTCTAGTTAACTGGGCAATGGGGGTTAAGTGTTGCACTTTTTGGATGAAATGTCCAAAACGCTAATGCTCTCAGTGAGTTAGGAACTAATAAAACCAGGTCAAGAATTATGACCACCAGAAAATGTGTTAAAGTGAGAATAATTTGAATTTTTTCAGAAATACTTTTAAAAAAGGGAGAACAAAAATAGAATCACAAAAGAAAAAGCTTCGTTACATAGAAAATGCACTTCGTTAAAGAGAGGTTATTTTACAAAGAAATTCGTGAATTGTTAAAGATTCAAGGAAAAAAAGTTTGCTATATAGAAAAATTTGCAATATGGAGGTCCGTTTATAGAGGTTTGAATGTATTTTTGAATGGACTGCCATGCTCCCCCCCCCCGCAACTCTCTTCATTACTAATATATTTTAAAATCCTCCTTTTTAGGTTGTTAACTTCATTAGAAAAGTTATAAAAGTTAGTTTTATATTAGTTATTCTAAAAGTATTTTATAAAACAAAAACTAATATAATAAATTTTATTAGTAACTTTCTCCATCACAAAAATTTTACACTGTAACTTAAATTAACTTTATTTTTGTATGATAATACAATTTTAGTATTTGGAAGAATAAATATAATACTATATTTAGAAAAATTTGATAAATCTAAATATCGGAAACTCGTTTTATTTAATTATCCAGTGTAATGGATTTAATTAATTAATTAATTTATTTATTTAATTATATTAACTTAATTTTTTTTATGTATATATATATATATATAATTTCATTTTAAAAAATTCCACAGTTTCAAGTTCAATTATAATATTTTCATAATTTTTTTTTAGCAATAAAAGTTTAATTAGTATTCCTTTTTATCTATCCTTTTAAAATAAAATGCAAATTCTTAGCATAATCATAAATTTTTGCTTCCATGATATGATGGTTCTCATATTTTTAATATTTATGTTATCAAATATATCTTTATTTCCTTCTTTATGTTAAATATTAATAATTTCAAGGATTATTCCCTAGGTAAGAAAATGTCAATATTTATCTCTCAGAATTTTATAATATGTTTAAGATATTCTTAAAAAGTTGATTCAGTACCAATTTTGTACGAAACCATTTAGGAGTAAAATTAGAACTTTTTATTAAAATTTATTACTAATAATTTTTAACATTATTGTACAATTTCTAATAAAAATTAAAAACTTTTATTATTTTCAAAATTTAAATGGATATCAGTTAACAAAAGTAGACTTTTTTATTATATTGCTATTTAAGAGTAGTAAAATTTTCTTTGATTTTGTGATAAAAAAAAGTTTATATTAATCTAATCTATCTCTTCTTTTTCTTTGTTTTTTTTTATTCATGTTCCATTTTTTCAGTACTTTTTCTACCTTATCTTTTTACAATGATTTATTTTAAATACAAAATACATAATTTCACTTATTCCTGTAAATCTCGGGATTGACTATATCTACTTCTTTATTTATCTTCTTTTCAAA